GGCTGATGCCCATGGCGTCGAGAGTCTCGGCGTACATGATGTTGAGGCCGCTGCCTCCATCCATCAGTACCTTAGAGAGCCGCTTTGTGCCGATGATCGGGTCGACCATGAGCGGATATCTCTCTGGCTGTGGGATGCTCTCTGGGTGGTCGGTCCAATCAAAGGTTATGGCGGACTCCGACCACCGGAGGAAAGTAGGCGCGGCCGGCTCGGTCGTATAGACCTCGCGGTGCGTGAGCTTCTGACGGCGCTTGGAGTCTTAGGCTGCCGACCCCTGAAGATCATGAGGCAACCATCATGCATTGGAAAGCCACCGTCCTTCCCCTCGGCATCGTCCACGGTCGAGTCGGAGTCCTTCCCGTGCTCCCCCTTGTTGGAGCCTCCGGACAAGAACCACTTCATGAGGCCACGGTCCTTGCACAGATGCTTGATGGGGAAGGCATGATTCAAGCATGACCCCTCGAGCAGCTTCTCAAAGTGGTTTGAAGTACCCTCTGTGGGCTTCCGACCCCCTCTACAGTCGGTGGTGGCCACGAGCAAGCCCTCGCACCACTACTTGTTCTCCTTTCTGACAGGACGGTTGGAGGCGCCCTCCCCGGCATCCTCATCCCACTTTGCCTTGCCTTTGAGGTGGTCGAAGATCGCTTAGGCCGCTTCCTCGCTCGAGGCGTGGCTAGTGGTGATGTCAAGGAGTTTCATGGTGGTTAGCGGGCCCTTACGTCCCAGCTTGTGAACTAGGGACTCGCAGGTGGTCCTGGACAGGAAAGCTCCTATAACGTCGGCGTCGGCGATGTTAGGTAGCTCATTGCACTGCCGGGCGAAGCGCCGGATGTACCCGCGAAAGGTTGCCCTGGAAGTTCCCCACGAAGATCTCTTTCAGGTCCGTCCAACTTTGGATTCTATTGGGCGGAAGGTGTTCCAACCATGTCCACGTCGAATCAGCCAGGAACAATGGAAGGTTGCGGATAATGAAATCATCATTATCCACCCCACTGGCTTGGCAGACAAGCCGATAATCCTCGAGCCATAGTCCGGGGTTCATTTCCCCAGAGTATTTTAGGATGTTGGTTGGTGGTCGGTACCTTGGCGGGAAGGCGGCGTTGAGGATGTGTCGGCCGAAGGACTGAGGTCCCGGCACGCCGGGGCTCAGGCTTCGGTCCTCGCCACTGTCGTAGCGTCCGCCACGTCAAGGGTGGTAGCCACGGCTGGCCCCCTCACTCGCATCACCGTGGGTATGCCTACCGGCATCGAGGGTATTACGCGCGTCACGGTTGCGGTTGAGGCGCTCATGCACCAGAACCGTGATGCGTGGCCTACCACCTTGCGGTGCCTGGTGAACTAATGTGTCCTTATCAGGTCGCTCTAAGGGCGTGCAATGGCTGACGTCGAGCTCACGTCGCTGAGACAGCGAGCTCTCGGCCTGCTGCGTCGTCGTACGCTCGAGCACCGTGCGAATCTCGTGATGGGCTCGACGCTCATTGGGCGTCATGGCCCCCAGAAGCCCATGGAGCAAGGCCGCCGTAGCAGCGATGTTCTGGCTCACCCAGGCAAAGTGTGGGAGGGCTTCATCATCCTCGATGATCCTCCGGTTCACGTCGCGAGCCACGGCACGTGCGCGCCCACCGTCTCCGTGGCGCTAGATCTCACGATCAAGCTCCGCGCGTTCCTGCTCGAGCTGCAATCATGCTTCCTCGAGCTCTCGGTGCCGAGCCTTCAGCTGCTCCACCCGCAGACGGGTGGGGCCCCTACATCACCCTCGACCTCATCGTCGAGGTCGTTCATCGGGGTAGCCTCCTCCTCACGGATGCTTTCAACGTGTCCTTTGGAGGTACCTACCATGAAGCATTCACGAGAGGGGTGATGGCTTCCCCTGCTGGTGTCAGAGCCGAAGGGCGACTCCGTTTCTCCCATGACGAGGTCATGGAAAGATTCCACGATGTATTCGGTCACCCCCACGAACTCGTCGTTCGCGGGGGATGGAGGCATTGCGGAGACCGAACAGGAGCACTGTCGGGGCACTCCAGATGAGGTATTCCTGGGAGAGGGGCTCTCCCCGACGAGCTATGCCATGACGTTGGTGAACGAGAAGGTGAGGTGGCGTAGGTCCTCCTAGGATGGTCGGGGTCCCAAGAAGGCGCCGAGCTAGCGCTCTAGCCTTTCGTAGTCGAAGCCAAGGAGCTGGCTACTCCCAGTGGCGTGGGCCTCCGGTGCGTGCAGCCATAGCTCCTCAAGCGCCTCGGCAATCGCATCGAGGTCAGCGGAGTGGAGAGGCTGAATGACGACGGGTGTCCACGCCAGCTCTCCCTCCGTCGTGATGATGAAGTCTAGGTCCTCGAAGCGCACGTGAGCGCCCGGGACCCAGGTGATGTCGTGACTAGCCATCCGAGGCCTGGTGTTGATGTCAAGATGCACAAAAGGCCCCTACCTGGTGCGCCAACTGTCGATGTTTCGAGAAACGCCAATGAGTAAATTTCTAATATTGCGTATCTAGCTCGGATGATGTGCTAAGAGGACACGAGGTTTATACTGGTTCGGGCGGAATGTCCATACGTCCAGTTCGTTGTTGTTGCTCGTGTTACTAGCACTAAAAAGTTCGTAGTAGGGGTTACAAACGGGCGAGAGAGGGACAGGTCCCAAGTCTCTGGTGGAAAGAACGAATGAGTACCGAGAGCTCGGTCGCTGCTCGGCTATGTGTTCGAGGTTCGATGCTAGTGGTTTTAATCTAATGCGAAGCGATGCCCCTTAATGGGACGCCCTGCTTTCCCTTTTATAGGACAAGGGAAAGCACGGGTTACAACGGGAGAAAAGAGAACGAGAGGGAGAGGAAATCCTTCAGGGTGGTGACAGGGACAGCTCCACGCCGGGCGCCTATCCGCTGATGATGCCATGCCCTGGCATTGTCAGTGGATCGTCACGTCCCACTCCGCCCCGGCGGGCGGCGCGGCGAACCAGCGTGCAGATCAGCGGCCGTACAGGGAGCAGGCAGCATAGCGACCACGCGTCCGTCACTGTGGGCGATGTGAGTTCCCTAGAAAGACATGTCGCGAGGACAGGTCATGTTGAGACGTGACCGCTCCCTGCACGATGCCAGAAGTTTGACCTTGGGTTGTACTTTCTGGCCCGTAGTGGTTGGCGGCGGCGTGAGCTTCCATTAGGGGCCATGTTCGAGGGATCGGGCGAGGCGAAGCCCGCCCTCAGACGTCGGGCGAGGCGGAGCCAGCCCTCAGACGTCGAGCGAGGTGGAGCCAGCCCTCAGACGTCGGGCGAGGCGGAGCCCGCCCTCGGGGGTCGGGTGAGACGGAGCCCGTGGCCTCGGTGTTGGACGAGGTGGAGCCCGCGGCCAGAGGTCGAGCGAGGCAGAGCCCGCCCTTAGAGGTCGGGCGAGGCGGAGCCCATGGCCTCGGTGTCGGACGAGGCGGAGCCGGCCCCCAGAGGTCGACAAGGCGGATCGCATGACCTTAGGGTCGGGCGAGGCGGAGCCCACGGCCAGAGGTCGAGCGAGGCAGAGCCCGCCCCCAGAGGTCGAGCGAGGCGGATCGCACGACCTTGGGTCGGGAGAGGCAGAGCCCGCGACGAGAAATCGGGCAAGGCGAAGCCCACGCTCAGAGGTCGAGCGAGGCAGAGCCTGCCCTTAGAGGTCGGGCGAGGCAGAGCCCACGACCTCGGTGTTAGACGAGGCGGAGCCCACCCCCAGAGGTCGGGCAAGGCGGATCGCACGACCTAGGGGTCGGGTGAGGCAGAGCCCGCCCTCAGAGGTCAGGCGAGGCGGCCACGGTGTCAGATGAGACGAAGCCCGCCCCTAGAGGTCGGACGAGGCGGATCGCACGACCTTGGGGTCGGGCGAGGCGGAACCCGCGGCCAGAGGTCGGGCGAGGCGGAGCCCGCGGCCTCGGTGTCAGTTGGAGCCATAGTCGCACCTATGACCGCCTGGATGGATTAACGTATAACGACCATTAGCCCCTCCTCTTCGGGTACCCTAGTATTGGTCCCCGACACCCGCCCTCCTCCTCATCCTCGCCCCCGCCGTTGGCTACTGCCCCGCCACAGGCGCTAGGGTTCACCGGAGCTTTGGTGAACCCTAGCGCCCGCGGCGGCCGCCTTCTTCCCCTCCCCCTCCGGCCATGGCGAGCTCCGGCAGCGCCAACCTCCCTCCGGCCATGGTGCCCCCGCCCCTCCCTGGCCCAGCCGCCATGGCCCCTAAGCAGCCTGGCCTCCTTCCCCACCGCCTGGCCGGCCTGCCTCCCCTCGGTCAGGCCCTTCTATGCCCGCTAGAGTTGGGAAGGAGAGGGGGAGAGACCAGGAAGGCGCGAGCTCATCATCTTCTTCGTCTTCTATGGCTTGTCTTCCTCGTCTGCGGCGAGGTCGCTGGAACCCTAGCCGCCCTGACTCGTCTTCTTCGTTTCCAGCAAGGTCACGGTTGCGGGATGGAGGAAGAGCACGGGAGCAACAACACAAGAGGGAGAGGGAGTGGAGTTGCGACGTCGCTCTCCAGCGTGACGGGTCGCGTAGAAACTTTTGCACTTGGGAATATAGGGTCGATGCGACACAAAAGATGCCCAAACCTATGATAAGATACATTAGTCATACATTGTTTCATAAAAAACGTACATAAATGAAGAATAAAACACTTGCATTTCATTTTGCTAACATATGCAATGCTAACTTACATATATTTATAAAATTATTCGATTTCCGGAATGTGCCAAAGCGATGCCCTCATTAAGTCTAACCTTCAAATGTGACAATAAAGTTGTGTTTCTGTAGACCGTATAACCATACTACTACAAGAAGACATTCATATCATATAACGAGAAACGTACAATTCACAACCTATAGTAAGAAATGACAACATCCTATGTGCATATAGTTCCCAAAATGAGGCTTAGATGTTCACAAAAAGCAGTATTGGAAGTTGAATGCAGTGAGACACAATATTCCATCATTGGCACCATGTAGATTCAGTAACCAAGCAAACATTGTTGTTTTTGCCAAAGCTCAGTCTACTCAACCTGAACTGAAACAAAGGCCATCTTAGTAACATACCAGTTAAAAGAAAGAAAATACAAATGATGAGAACTGTCTAGATGCCTCAAGCTGTCCGTGAGAAGCTGTGTGATATTCAGCTTAGGGTCAAGGGCTTCCCGAACATGCAGCGCGGCCATCTCTGGGCTTGCTAGGTGTTCCTTCATGAGGTGCCCTACGAGGTGAATGGCTTCTGCTATGACTGGGGCTTTTACGAACAGGAGACCCACTGCCGATATTAAAGAATGGAGTAAAAAATAATGCATTCTGATATGACAATACAAAACAGAAAATAGTATATCTCCAACCCCATTGGACATACCTGTGTCTGTTATGTTTCCTGTCATAATCAGGACTGATACTGCAAGTCCTATGGCGACGGTGATCATTATCTCTGTACCTGTCCTGTTCATATCGCTCCCTACTTCTGCTCCGGCTTCTCCTTCTATAGTCTCTATCCCGATAATCCTCTCGATACCTTCACAAATGGCTAGCACTTATATTAAAAATAAAGATGAATCATCTGAAATACTTCACCGATTTTAATACTATGAGAAACAGAGCTATCATAACAGCTGAAAAAGTCTTAAGCTGTATTGTAGGTCTAACTTGGTGGCACCATTTGGGCACTTGAGCAATGATGCAATGAAATACAACACCATTTTGCAGGGGCCCTTGTATGCTATAGGCTATCACAAAGGTAGTGTGTGCAGCATACATTCATTTTGTTTTCATATTTTATAGTGGAATGGTATTCCTTTAATCCTCTTTATTTGGCATTGTAGCAGTTAAAGGAGATATAGATATATCTTTACTAAAATAGTGAAGTGTACCTATTTCATTTAGTGCAAGCAACACTTTTCTTTGTTTATTGGTTAATATTAATGACTAAATATGAGTAGTTTGGGAGACAAACAAATTTAGTAGGTAGCAAGACACACAAAGTCAGTAGGGGCATGAGGTCATAGCTAGCTTTTCCTTCAGTGTATGCAATTCTGAAACATCATACACAAAGGGAACAGAGGGAGTACCTAGTATGTCATTGCCAATATTCGAATATGCCTATTTCTTACCTCTGTCTTGGACTGCGGCTTCTGAAACGACCCCTTGGCTTTGGATTTTCTTCTGTAATTCTACCCCTATGACTGCAAACACGAACAAGAAAGCAATGCTTAGCAAGTGGCATTGCTTTTAGTGTTTCGCCATTCTCTGAGCTGTATTGATGCACTTAATAGATAGAAAAACAAGAGTATCAACATATTTTACATGATAGCAAGCGGCATTCTTGTAATGAGTGTTTTTTAGAAAAAGAAACAATGAGTTAAACTGGCCATGTAATGTGACTTTTGGGCTTCTGCTAGATGTGTAAACAAGTAATTTCGGTTTGTATGTCTAATAGAAGCACTCTTACTTGCCATTTCTGAACTTCGTTCAGACATATACAAGTAGAGTCAAAGTTCTTGTCCATGAAAGTAAATCAATCAATGGATGCACCTACCCCAACCTAACAAAAAGATGCAACCAACGAACTAGAACGAAATGGTAACAGGCAAAAACTTCAGCACAATTCACATCGAGCCTGTTCGGTAGTACTACTGCAAGCAGCTGCAGCAGCCAGCCACCTGCAGTTCACTGGTGCAAGGCAAGGAGGGTGCTGCAGCTGCAGCAGTAGCAGAAGCAAGTCCACCTATCAAGAGCCACTGCATCAATAATTTACAGTTCAAAAAAACTTCACCACAAGTAAGCCCCTGAAGTGATTTCCATCCATTGAACACATACATCAACCTAGACCACAGGGATGCTTCAACAGATGAACAATCCAAGCTATCATTACAAAAGCAAAGAGAGGTTAACACTGTGAAACTTCACTCAGAAAAACACTCCTCAACCCAACTTTGCGTAGCCACATCCATGCCTATACATGTGATTTCCTGTCTACCTTCAAATACTCTGTTGCGGGCATGAAACAACCTAGCTAAATTAGGTACTTAGGTGGTTGGTGTTTATACTCTATATTGGCATTACTATGGATGACTATGTTTCAACCACACTAGAAATTACAATGCATTCCAATCCAACACCAGAAGTTTTCCCTGCACTGAAACAGGGCCTAAGTATGAAGGCTGAACAGAAAAAAATGATGATTAGATCAAGTAATGATGTAATATCCAAACATAAAACTACAGCCATACTCGTACAGATCAATGTTTCATTCAACTACAGAACCATCTAAATGACTAAAGCCTCAAGGAAACCCTTATTTAACCTCTTAGAAATAATAAAATAAATTAGTTCTACTGCAGGTTGGCATCTGTTACTGGTACATGACAGCATACCGCCCAAGATTTTATGCCACAATGAAATGCAACAAATAATTTAATCGTTACATAACAAAGGTTACATGTGAGATCTCACATCTTTTCAGCATTGGGCCCGTACTTGGCAAACTGCACCATGAGCGCCCGCCCATCAAACCTCATCCCTGTACCAGAAAAAAATAATGGAATATAAGTCTTAGAAGAATGTCGAAGACCTAAGACGGGTGAAATTTTTCCTTCGCTCACCATCAAGCCCGTCAATGGCATCCTGCGCCTCATCCTCGTAATTGTACCTCACGAACGCGAACCCTCGCGAATCCCCAGTCCTGCAAGAGGAGACGCAAGCTCAACCAAAAAACGATTCGAAATCCAGCCCCCGACGCGCGGTGAAAAGTGACAATGGCGTCCACCTGCGGTCGCGCGGGATGTAGATGTCGACGACCTCGCCGTAGCGGTCGAAGAGCGGGAAGAGATCGTCAGCCGTAGTGCCTGCAGCAGGGATTCATCCATCGGGGTCGTGAGTACGCGGAACGCGGTGTCCGGGAGAGCGCGCCGCGCGCGGGAGGGGGCAAGCCAGCAAGGGGCGGGCAGGCAAGCGAGATTACTTACGGAAGGAGACGTTGAGGACGAGGAGGGAGAAAGTGTCGCGGTTCTCCGGCTGCCCGGAGCGCCCGAAGCGCGACATCGCCGGAGATGGCGGCGGCGTGTTTTTTTTTTTTTAATTTAATTGCGGCGTGGGGGTTTTGGTTAGGTTTTAGGACGGTGGACGGGTGTAAACGGTCAGGGAAGACGAGGAAAAAATGATTTTACCGCGTAAATTAATTCGGCGTATTTTCACTTCCGGAAGATCGCAAATGTGCCATCAAGGACATGTTTTATATGAAATTAACGGATTCAAATCAATTTTTATTATTTATACGAATTGTTCTAGCTACTGAGTTGTATATGATTTAACAATTCTTAAAATACCTTGGACTGAATAGATTATCACCGAGATGTCTGATTTTTAAAGCATTCAATTCTAATTCAAGCAACACAATTCAGTTGTTCAACAAGTTCATTTGAACAAAAGGTTAGCTGCATTGTTGCATCCAAACTTTAAATGTTGCACTGGCCAAATATGTGAAAGTTCACATGTGTATCCCATCGTTTCAACATTATATGATATATACTAATGATAGGAAGTAGTCAAGTAGTCATCGCCCTGTAGCTTCGAAGTATATTTGACATAGTCGGTTCCTTAAGCATAGACCAAGTGTTAGAATATCTTCAGAAGCTCCTCAAAACACTTTGGTAAACCAATGTCCAATGATTATTCGGTAATGCTCATGGACGCCCTGTCCTGAGAATGTGCCTACTCCACTCTTTTTATGTTCTGCTGCTGCTACATCCACCCGCATTCTGCATCGTCGCTGCTGCCCCGCCCGGCCACCTCACCCTCTGCGCCACCGTTGCCGTCCCCATCCGCCCTCTACATTGCCACCACGCCCACACCCACCCTCTGCGTCACCGCTGTCGCGCCCACCCGCCCCTCTGCGCCACCGCCGCCCTCACCCCGCCCTCTGTGTGCTGCCGCCCAGCTCCGCGTTGCTGGCGAGCTCTACACGGGGGGCTCCATGCGCCGATGAGCCTCCATTCGCTGAAGCAACAAGGAGATTTGCGCTGAAAGCGCATGTTGCAAAAGTACATTTCAAGTGTTTTAGATGTTTCAGAGGCATGTTGCAAGTGTTTTATATAGATGTTGCAAAAGTAGATCAGGATGTTACAAAAGTAGATCGAAATGTTGCATATGTTGCAATGGCTATACACATATGTTTCAAGTGTATATTTCAAATGTTTGATCTGTTTCAGACTATGTTACAAAAGTAGATCTAGATGTTGCATATACATGCATTTTGCAAGTGTATGCTTGAGGTGTTTCATACGTATGTTGTAAGTGTTTCATCTGAATGTTGCATATATTTGCAATGGCTACACATGTGTTTTTAAGTTTTTTCTGGTGTTTGCAATTGTTTCAGACATATGTTGTAAGTGTTTCAGCTGTTTTCGGACGTATGTTGTAAGTGTTTCATACGGATGTTGCAAAGGTAGATCTAGTTTGCACATGTTGTAAGGGGACCCACCCGTCGCAGACACCTACTGCAGCTGCTGGGACGCCATCGAGCAGGCGCACATGGTCCTGCGTGCATGCGCATGAGAAGCGGAGGGGGCGCGAGCAGTCCCCGTGTGCGGTCAGGCGGCGCGGGCCTCCCGCATGGGCACGACTACGGTACCGTCCAATGGATCGGTGTCCGATTGAACATCCAGGTGCTAGCAGCTCCCATGATTATTTTAGACAAATCAAAATAAAAACAAGGAGCTTGATTTTTATCTTTCTCCAATACTTTTAATAAACTTGAAAACCGGACAAGAGGGGTGAAACTACGTGCCCTAAAAGATAGCAAGCACAAAACACATGCATATTGAAAGTTGAGGGGAAGATTTATCAAATGCTTATCTTTAGAAAGTTATTTTACTCCCTCTGTTCCAAACTATAAGACGTTTTGGCTTTTATAGATTCACAATTTTTGCTACGCACCTAGATATATATTATGTATAGATACATGATAAAAACTATGAATCTAGAAATAGCAAAATGACTTATAATTTTAAACGGAGGAAGTACAGAACAGTCATAGCATACTTCGATGTTCTTACTATGGCAATATGCAAGATGTGAAAGTCTTCATCCATTTTATTTTATCACTAGTTTGCCTTCAATAGTTCAGGTGTTACGAAGTTGAAGCAAAAATCCCTAACAACAATATAATGGAATAAAACTTCCTGGGCACTCTTAGAACTATATAACTCTCAATCAAATGTACTCCGATATGAGATGCTGCGTGCGTGCAGGGAATGTCGTACGACACCAAATGGATAGACGATTTTGTTCCTGGGCACTCTTAGAACTATATAACGCTCGCTAGTATAATTGCAGTCAGGTTCAGCTCAAACCAGCAAGCACAATGCCTGCTATATCTTGAATCCTCCATCCTCCGGAACAAACTAGATGGACTTATGTTTGTCATGGGAGAAAGAGAGTACCTCGAAGCAAAGATTTACTTCTGTTCTAGAGCTAGAGATTAATGGTGATTTGAGATTAGGGTATGTTTGGTTTCACCCCATAAAGTTTAGTGACTCCCTGTTTGGTTATAGTGACTAAAGACCACTAAAGCAGTTATCCCATGTATACTTTAGCCACTTTTAGCTACCTCTTGGTGACTAAAAGCAAAGCCACTAAACTTTAGTAAGGGTGTTTGGCATTTTAGTGATAAAAGTGACTAGGGGTGAACCAAACAAGGCAAGCAACTGTGATTTAGCGAAGAAATGAGGCGTCCCCGACCCAAGATGACGGCTAAAATCCACTCTACACGTTGAATGAACCATGCCTGCTATTTAACTCTCTTGCGCTTTTGTCCTCGCTTTGCGCACAAAAAATCGATCCGAAGTTAATTCTTTCAGGCTTTTAAGTGGGTTCATTTTCCCCTCAACTTCCGGCACGGCATGGGCCCGTAGCTACAGTGTCCCACAAATGCTACAGTACTTGCATCGCCTCGTTGCTGCTGTACTCGCCATTCGGCCCAGCCCATCAGACCGGCCCAACTTCGCCCATTAGCGGGGTCTCACAACTGGTCTTACAACGGGCTAACTGGAAAAGGATTGCCGCCAAGTCTCGCGAATTGCCGCCGCCTGGAGATGCTCGACATGTCAAGGAACAAGCTCTCGTCCAGCCTGATACCAGCTTTCTTGGGAGACTTTCCATCACTGAGGAGACTAAAATTGGCAGGAAAAAGGTTCTTTGCTGAGATACCAGACAGCCTAAGCCTGTTGTGCACACATTGGTTGAGCTAGATCTGTCAAGCAACCAGCTTATCGGCAGCTTGCCAGCAAACTTCACAGAATGCCGTCCCTCCGTATCCTGAGGCTGCCATTCAACGACATCAAGGGAGCAAACCCGTTGCCTACGCTGGCGACCGGTTGCCCATTGCTTGAGGAAATCGCCCTTGGGTCCAATTTACTCGATGGGGACATAATGCCTGACTTGTGCTTGTCACTGCCGATGCTACGGAAGCTCGTACTTCCAAATAACTACCTCAGTGGAAGGATACCGCCATCGCTTGGCCGTTGCGCCAACCTAGAAGTGATAGATCTCAGTTTCAATCTGCTGGTCGGTCCAATTCCAGCTGAAGTCCTGCAACTTCCAAAGCTTGTTGATGAGCTACAACGGAACTGCACTGGAGACCCTGGTGATGAGCTACAACAACTTCACCGGAAGCATCCCTCCGTCCATCACCAGGTGTGTCAACCTCAACTGGCTGTCCCTCGCCAGCAATCAACTCACTGGCAGTGTGCCTCTGGGTTTCAGCAACCTCCAGAAGCTTGGCATACTGCGGCCCTACAAGAATTCACTCTCTGGCTTCATCCCCTAAGAACTTGGCCGCTGTAACAACCTCATCTGGCTTGACCTCAACAGCAACTACTTCACCGGTACGATACCACCGGAACTAGCAGCACAGGCAGCGCTCGTCGCCGGGGGCACTATCTCAGGGAAGAGGTATGCATTCCTCCGAAACGAGGGCGGCAACATTTGCCCTGGTGCTGGCTTGCTGTTTGAGTTCTTGGACATCCGCCAGAGCGTTTGGCTGAATCCCTGTTAGCTAATCTACTGCCACCTTGTATGAACACAGCAGAGAAAGACGACGCCGACTTAGCCGCCTATTGTGTGTGAACACAGTAAGGGAATGCGGCGCCGACTTTGCCCCCTGCTGTGATACTGTAGCCGCTGCAAGTGCAGGCGCCGCACGGCTCACCTGCAGCACTGTATGAACAGGCAGTGGCCGGCGCAGAGTCAGTCATGTCATGTTATCTAGTTACTGTGTTAGCATGGGCGCTGCACATGGACTAGATAGTTAGAGTTATATAAATAGACATGTATGGCAACTCAGTAAAGAGAGCTCAGATTTGCCATCACACAGACAGGGCCTCGGCCAACGCTGTTGTCTTGTATTGTGCATGCTTGCTCTGTTCTCCCTTCTTCTCCCAACTCCGTCCGTAGTGTGTGGATACGGACAACGTCGGTATGTGGTCTGCACGGCTAGTGGGTGCTCGGCAACACTAGCGCGTGCTCAGCGAGACCGTCAAGTGCTCCACTCGCCTGAGCCGGTGCTCGGCAAGATCGGCTAGAGTGGTTCACTGTCGTGAGCCGGTGATCCTGTGAGACCAACGGAGTGGTCTGGAGGCCATCTCAGTGGTCTGGAGGCTATCTGTAGTGGTCTGGAGGCCATCTCGATGGTCTAGAGGCTATCTGTAGTGGTCTGGAGGCCATCTTGGTGGTCTGGATACTATCTGTAGTGGTCGGGAGGCTAACTGTGGGCCAACAAGTGGTATCGGAGCCGTACAAGCGCCGTCGTCATTCTAACCGATGGCGATGACAGGCGGTTCGGAGTTGGACGACGGCAGTGGCACTGTCGTGGCTGCCCAGCCACTACCGGATGTAGTTGTTCGCACGGTGCGGGAGGTCAGCGGCACCACTTGGCCGATGCTGACTCGCACTAATTATGGAGAGTGGTCGGTGACCATGAAGGTCAAGCTCAGAGCACGACGGCTCTGGAATACTGTTGACAAGGGCACCGACGTGGAAGAAGA